ACTTCTGGCTCTAAAATGTCATGGTTCTGTTTTTCTGATTTTTAAAATATCTTGGGATCTTTCAAAAGCATAGTAGCTCTGTGTGCATGTGTAGTAGCATATGCTAGCAACTAGTCATCATCAATATGGTCACATTTATTAAAGCTTGATATGGATAAATTGTACAGTAAATCAAGAAATATTATATTTGAATGAAGCCCTGAAAACAAGTGTTTACACAAATACATGATTAGATGTTCTCCGTCCTTACATTGAAAATGTTATTCTACTCATTTGAGAAAGTCTTCATGAAAGGAGTGGAGTTTGAAGGAATTTTTAAATTTTTGGTTTATCCTTAGATGCCCAGAAGAGGTTTGTGTGATTTAACACTACCATATTTCCATGGCTTTCCAGGTAAAAAGAGGCAACTTAAATGCTTTCCTTGCTGAATACTAAGAAAAACATATTTCCCTACCCGTTTTAGAAGAATTAGTGAAATTATGTTAGAAAGAGCATTACCAAATCAGATGTCCTGCCTATTTAAATTTTACCCATGTAATTAGTGTTTATCATCCACTTCCTAATTGAATGGATATATATATTCTTTTAAAAATTTGCACAAACATTATCACAAGTCCTAATTAGACGATTACAAGCTACCATTCATGATTTGGAGTTGTATGGTATTTTGGTTAAAATGTAAAACAAATTATAAATATCTTAAAAGAACAGGTTGAATAGAAATATTTATTAGGAACATAAACAAGATGAGGCAAATCCCCAAAGAACATGCAAAATGAACTAATGCACCATGCTAATAAGAATCAAAGGGTTACAAATGAAAATGTGCATGTGAGTGACACTGATATTGCCTTTAATGGCCCCTTAACTAGCCACTTAAAATTTGACCAGCTTTTGATTTTTCCAGTGAAGAAATTAAAAAAAGAAAATATCACTATTGAATATAATCAGCTTGCTGTCTGCCTTGTCTTTGTGGACCTACAAAATCCAGACATAAAGTCTAATATGGAAATTTTGATCTCCTTGATCTTTCTGACAGAATTAAAAGGAGAGTAGAAGATTGGGCTGTATGGCATTGCCTCTTGCCTCAAACATCACTTTTTTTCAATTGAGAATTTCCAAAGAATGGCATAAACCGGGATAGTGCAGTTACAGGCAAAATTTCATAACAGTGTATGGTAAATCCTGATTAAATGTGGAGAGATGAGTTCTTACAGTGGAGAAGTAACATTCTAGGTAGCATTAGAATATTTAGAGTAAATTTCAACATGTTCTTCCTACTTTCTATTTCGCTTTAGGGTTTCTTACCTCCAGGAGAGATGTAGAAACAGTTGAGTTGAGCTTCATGCACCAAAGTACCCTTAAATTTGACCTCTGTATCAGCAGACAGGTGGCTGGGAAGCGGCTGGTATGCAGGAGTACTAGGCTGAACAAATGCTCGAAGCATTGTGAATTTCCAGATGTATATTGGTTGATTTTTAAAGCTAAATAATTATCCGGCTCATGAGCTCTTGTAATTTTTTAAAAACCAGAAACCATTCCCGCAGTAACATTTCAGTGCCACAGAAGTTTACATGGCCGTATCACATTGCTGCAAGTTTAGGTTATGGTAATTACTTTAAGTTTTAGAATTCTAAAAAACAAAACAAAACACACAAAAAAACACCTTCTTGCCTGATTCTTTTCAACCTTATATTTTCTGTCTTCCCTGCTCTGCTCTCTGCCTATGTACGGGTGGGCCTCTCACCCAGTGGCTTTACGGGAAAACTTGGATTGAAATGTGAACTTCATGGTTTCTGTCAGCCTGTCAGCTCATCACCTCCCTAAGGCATGATGATCTCTGGTTTTTATATATCTCCACAGACTGCTTTGATTGACCCTCTTGTGTGAAAGAGTGATAGGTTTGCCCAGGGGTTGGTAGACCTTAGAGCTAGGAGGCAGGAAACTTCAGTTGGAATGTGTACTTTAATGGAATTCACAGCCTCTTTCCCAGGGGAATGCAGCTCAAGTTTCAAAACTATTTTAGGGAGAAGAAAGTTAGGCCCAGTTCTACATTTTATCTTGGTGCCACTTTTCAGTAACCAGAACTCTTGGTTAATGTTTTCTTCTCCCTCTTGGCTATTTAAATTTTCTATCCAGACTAAACTGGGATCAAAAGAGTTATCTCAAAGTGATCCCATTTTAATTTTTAAAGCCATGCTGCTTTAGAGATAAATGGTTGGGACCTAAAGAAGTCTTCACAATGTCTTAAATAATTACTGCAAACCCAATCATTCCTTCATTTTGCTTTGACATTTGAGAGATGTTCCATTCCATTTTCCCTCCCTAAATCTGCATTTCAGTTATCTCCTAGTAGTAACAGTGTCAAACTGCTCTTCTATTTGTATCAACAGTTTCCTTGGCATCCCACTCTATGAAAACCTAATTCCTTATGTCAGATGCCACAAATGTATAACATCAAACAAAAGACACCCATAATATTTCTATTAATAGAGCCTACTTATGAGACACCAATGGCCGGTTTTTCCTCTGCCATTGGGCCTTGGGTTTCTGAGTTATGCCCTGTTTTTCTCTCTTACTGCCACCTTTCTCCTCTGATAGTTTTGGAAAAGCCAGTCTTCAAGGAAAGAAAACTTACACTGTAACTAAAACAATACACCAGGCTCCTAGTTTTGTAACTAAGGTTGAAGTCACCTAGACACACAAACATATTCAGATTTATTAGTGGTTGAATGTCAGTGATCCAATCTGCTTTGACTTCAAGAACGTCAGGGTAGGCAGGTTAGTGTTGGAATCTGTGTAGGGAATCGAGGTAGGGAATTATTGTTGATGGACTGGAAGCAACCTTGAATATGAAGTTTCAAGATACACATTTAGGAATCTGAAGATAAAAGAATTTTGTTTTGATATAAAAGCTCTCATAGCACATGGACTTCAGAACTCAGATGTTCTTTAAAAAAAAAAAAAAAAAGTCCGTATACCAAGGAGGAAAATATGTATATATTTCCAGCTAAGAGGTAAAATGGTCCTGTTCAAGAAAAAGCTGGAATTTTTTTTCCCTCACTTCACCTCCCCCTTGCCCACCCTTCACATGTAGGTAGGTAAGATAAAAGATTTCTGGTACACTGATAATTGCAAAACAAAGTTTAAAGCCCTATTGCCACCTTTTGCCAAGTTAGTAATTCAGATTCATAAGTTCCTCTAAGATATCTGCTGAAAATAGCACCTATAAAGACATTTCTTGTACCTTTGGATATCTGAACTATTACTGACAAGAAGCAGAAATTCCATGCCCAGATACTGGTCAGATAAGAGGGGAAAAAAAGATGTAGTTAGACTATCACAGCTGGGTTTTGTTTGTTTGTTTGTTTTTGTTTTTTGAGACGGAGTCTTTCCCTGTCACCAGGCTGGAGTGCAGTGACACGATCTCGGCTCACTTCAACCTCCGCTTCCTGGGTTCAAGCTATTCACCTGCCTCAGCCTCCTGAGTAGCTGGGATTACAGGCATGTACCACCACGCCCAGCTAATTTTTGTATTTTTAGTAGAGACGGGTTTCACCATGTTGGCCAGGGTGGTCTCGACCTCTTAACCTCGTGATTTGCCCACCTTGGCCTCCCAAAGTGCTGGGATTACAGGTGTGAGCCACCACGCCCAGCCTTCTCACAGCTGTTTTAACAGCAAAAGACTATTGATGTAATTACATGTTTGGAAAGTTTGAATTTAAAGTTTTTTTCTCTTTTAAAAACATGTTTTGTCAGTTTTCATTGCCCCATCATAATATTGTTGCTATTTTCAGTGAAGATTTTTTAAATGTGTGTGTAGTTAATGCATTACTTACATGATTAATGCCATCAGATCCTCAACTAGATATTTATAAATGTCTTTTGGAGCTGTTTCAGCCTTTGCTATAAAAATGATATAGATAGGCACATATAAAATATACAACTTATTTGAACATTATTAAATGAATCAATAGCAGCTATATTATGTCAGTTTCTTTCATTACTAAATGATGAAATCATAGTCATATCTAATCTTTGAGCAGTTTTAAATTTTCTGTACAGACATTTTGAAGCCAGAGGTTTATTACATTTTATTTTTTCCCGTGGCCTATCCCTAACTTACAGCTTACAAAAGCCAGTTTTTCAGTTAACATGTTCCTGAGAGAAGGAGAAGGGGAGGGAGGCTTCTAGGCATAATTTGAGTATCAGGCTTCTGAATATTTAAAAATAAAGATGAAATGTTTTTATGAAATGTGCAAATGGAGTGCAGAAACAATGATATCTTGAAGCCAGGAAGTTTAGAAATTCTGATTTCATTTTCAGTTCTGTAGTCATTTGTTTAGGAAGATTTTACCAAATGCCTAATGTGTTCAGGTGCTATATTTTTAAGGAAAACACAGTTTATTCAATATGTGTATCTATGTGTGGGTGTGTGTCTTTGCAGAAAACCACCACAGATTTCTCTGTGGACTTCTATTTTGATGCTGTTTTTTTGTTTTGTTTTGTTTTGTTTTTGAGACAGAGTTTCGCTCTTTTCACCCAGGCTGGAGTGCAATGGCACGATCTTCGCTCACTGCAACCTCCACCTCCCAGGTTCAAGCGATTCTCCTGCTTCTGCATCCTGAGTAGCTGGGATTACCAGTAGCTGCATCCTGAGTAGCTGGGATCCTGGTGTAGATGGGCACCCACCATCACGCCTGGCTAATTCTTTTTTGTATTTTCAGTGGAGATGGGTTTCACCATGATGGCCAGGCTGGTCTTGAATTCCTGACTTAGGTGATCCCAAAGTACTGGGATTACAAATATGAGCCACTGTGCGCCTGGCTCAGTGCTGTATTTTTGAGCTTTAACCCCAATGATTGATTTTATTTATTCAATAATTATTGAATAAATCAATTCAATACATAGATTATCATGTATTTAAGACGGAAAAGGAAATTTTTTTCTATTTTGTAGTTTTGAATATGCCCATAATTTGTTTGATGTGTTTTTTGCAGTGTCCATCTATGGAATTTGGTTTTATGATAAGGAAGAATGCCAAAGAATTGCAGAGCTTATGAAAAAGTAAGTGCTAAAAGGCTAAATATTTTTCAGGACCTGGTGCTTTCATTTGTATTTCTACAAAAGTATGTATGTAACTATACTATAATCTTAACAGAATATATCTCCACAGCAATTATTTTCACAGTGGTTAGGCAAACATTTAATATTAATTAATAAATGAGAAATAGACATAAGAAACAACTTGCCACATTTTTACTAGGTAATATTTATCATCTGGAATGACTCATATTTTCCTGTCTCTGTGAAATATATATGAATTGTTCCAGATGGCAGTTTTCTTTAATATTTTCATTTATAAATTAGCAATTCTTTGCTTTGAAAAGTTATCAACATGCCTGTCAGTAAAAAGAACATTCAGAGCCATCCTAAAAGCCTGCTCAGGATTCTGTAAAATCTTTCATTTCCTTCCTCCCCCAAATGCCTTCCTTTAACTGTTATACATGTTTGTGGGAGCTCAGAATTTCCTCCCATGTCTCAGACACTGAGTACTTAGGATAGTCTTTATTTTCAAACTTCTTAGAAATTGCTGAGTTACTATTAGTTTAGTGATCAGTCAACCATCTCTCTCTTCCTTGTTACTAGTATCTTTCTTTTTTTTTCTTGAGACGGAATCTTGCTTTGTCACCCAGGCTGAAGTGCAATGGCACAACCTTTGCTCACTGCAATCTCTGCCTCCTGGTTTCAAGTGATTCTCCTGCCTCAGCCTCCCGAGTAGCTGGGATTACAGGTGTGCACCACCGTGCCTGGCTAATTTTTTGTATTTTTAGTAGAGAGGGGGTTTCACCATGTTGGCCAGGCTGGTCTCCAACTCCTGACCTTGTAATCCACCTACCTCGGCCTCCCAAAGTACTGGGATTACAGGTGTGAACCACCACGCTCAGCCTAGTCTCTTTCTTTTAATCTCATGGTACCTTGTGATTTGTCCCATTCTGCATTTTGGGAAACTTTAAAATTGCTGTCTGTCTTTCCCACTCTTGGCTTCCCTGATTGCATTGAAAGGGGAGGGCTTGCTCTCTGCTCTGCAATTGGTTGACTGATCAATTCTTGAGCCGAGGGCCTGCTCATGGTGAGGCAGTTATTTCCCTGCCATCAATGGGGATGGGTAAGAGCCTCAGAGTGAGATGAGTTTCTTGCACGTGCTGTGTCACAGCCTGGGACTGGACACAGCCAAGCACATAGGATGGCTGCCACCACATGGGTCTGACACTGCAGCTCTGTCTGCAAAAGAATCAATCCCCACTTTTAAATCCTGGAGCAAGGAAATGACTAGAAAGTGACCTCATGGAAAGGAAAAACAGGGAGCACCTTTTAAGAAATAAGATAGATTCCTGAAAGTCTAGCTAGAGATAGCTAATTTTAGCTAAGTAGCTCAAGGTGCAGATGGTGATTAAGTGTATTCAAACTGTTTACCATTGTAACAGCTAGTTCCTAGAACAGTCATGTTACTGTAACTTGTGCAGCAGATAATAATAGTAAGATTTCATATAGATTAAAAAATACCCTGTAGCTCAGCCAAGAGGCCATGTTAAAGTTGTCAGCGTTCTGCAGTAATTACCCAACAGCTCGGGCAAGAAATTGATTATTTACTAGCAGTAAGCAGCTGATTTGCGTGAATTCAGACCCCCTCCCCAGTTAGAATTAAGTCTCTCAGTAAGTTCAGATCTTTTTTACCATAAAATTCATGGCAATAATAAGAATGTTAGCTGAAAGTCACAGCACATAAGGGGAACGTGTATTTTGCTAGGTGATGGGAGCAATCTGGTCTCTTCTGTATTATTTTTCAGGCAACAGAAGAACTCATTGCTCTAAGTGCTTTTTTAAATGGCCCCTCTTCTCAGGGTTAGAATGGAATCTTTACCATGTTTTGAAACTGCCAGAGAACTACAGGATTTGAGTTGCTAGAATCAACCTTGCTTTGACTTCAAGGCTGTATGTAAAGTGGGGGGTACTTTCCTCATTATTTCAGAACTTTAAATTGGGTTTCCTTAGCAGCTAATGAGAGCGTCCTTCTGAATGTACTATGTGAGGAGTTGGCAGACTTTTCTGAAAGGGATCAGAGAGTGAGTATTTTAGACTTTGCAGTCCATAGGATTTCTGTTCCAACTATAGAATTCCGCCTTTGTAATGCGAAAGCAGCCATAAACAATACGTAAACAGATGAGCATGGCTGTGTTGAGCACGGCTGTGTTTGTGACCTTCTTTACAAAAACAGGTGGTGGGCTGGAATTGCCTTGCAGGTTTGCTGACTCCTACCCTAGATTCACCTACGTAGTCAGTGAATTCAGGACCTCAACTCTCATTTTTCTCCTTTAAATTCCTAAGCAGCCTTATTTCTAATATGGTTGTAACAGGATGAAGACGACTAGGTGAGAACTGGGGTGGCTTTAAACACTGTTTGTATTGAATTGGTTTTTCTTGTGTGGATGTTCCCCCGTTTTTCTAGCCTAACTCAGTATGAACAGTTGAAAGCCCATCAGGGAACTGGAGCGGGAATCTCCCCAATGATCCTCAATTCAGGAGAGGGCAAAGAAGTAGATATTTTACGAATGCTCATCAAGGCCAAAGATGAATACACAAAGGTGAGTATTTGCCCTTCCTTGTGATGCATACACCCTTCAGTTCCGCAGTGGGAATATTCTTGTTTAGAAAGAGTAGGTGCTGTGGGTCCTGTGCCTTCCACCAAACAAAATTATATTACAAATAAAAAATCTTTATTTGCTTTTAGTAAGCTAAAGAAAATGGTTTGCCTTTAAGTGGATTAAAAAATAGCCTGAGAAATCAATAGCCTTCATATATACAAATAGAAGACTTACTGTAAGACCCCAATTTACAGTAGCAACAAATGAATATAAAATTCTTTGCAATAAAATTCACAAGAAATGGGTAAAACCTATATAAAGAAAATGTTTAAAAACTCCTGAAGGGCATGAAAAAAGATTTGAACAAACGGAAATATGTGCCCTGTTGTTGGATAAAAAGATTGAACATAAAGCTCTTAATTCTCCTTAAATCTGTACGTTTAAGGTGATCACTAAATAAATACCACTGGTTTGTTTTCCCCTCCCCCTCCGCTTCCCACTTCTCCCTTACTCTCTAATCCAGACAAGTTGACTGTAAGGATCATGAGAAGAAATATGCAAGAAAGAATAGCTGGGAAAATCCTGGCAAAGAAGAGTGATATTAGCAGGAGCTGGAGGTGGGGGAGATGAGAGGGTGATGGAGCAAGCTCTCCCTGATTTTAAAACACTGAAGCTTAAACATTTCAAACAGTATCATGTCATTGGTATTGATACCTAACAGCCCAATAGACCAATGGGACAGATTTAAGATTCTAAATCTAGGATTAAACCCAGTTGTGTAGGAAATCTAGGATATGATAAAGATGATGATCTCAAGTCAGCTATTTGAGTGAATTCTTAAATAAATGGTATTGGGGCAACTGGTAGCCATTTGGAAAAATACAAAATTGAGTCTGTACCTCATGCCATACACCAGGATAAATTCCAAATGTATTAGAAATTTAAATGTAAAAATATAATGATTCAGGTACCAGAAGAAAATTTGTATGGATTTCTTTATAATCTAGGAAAAGAGAAATCTTTCAGTTATGCCTTAAAACCCAAAAGCAATTCATTAAACTACATAAAAATAAAAATGTTTTATAAGGCTTAAATATAATGTAAGCAAATAGAAAGATACAAAAACAACTGCCCAAAAAATGTTTATACCAGAATAACAGGAAGTTATTTTATGAAGAGCTCCTAAAAATTGAGAAGTACAAAATTGACACTAGAAAAATGGGCAAAAATAATTTTTTTTTAAATTATAGAATTTGAAAACTAGCTGAAATAAATGTATGTAATTGAATATTATATTATGACATAATTAGTTAGTAAAAAATTAGAGTGACTTCAAAACCTGGTGCTTGAACTGAACACTCTTAGTGCGTTATATTTTAAGGATAAAAAGAACGGCAAGAAATTATAAACTTAATTCGTTGGTTTTATTGTTTGTAGTAATGTTTCCATTTTAATTTTTCTACTATTGTGGATATAATAAATAAGTTATATAAACATAGTTGGAACCAAAACCTTAGTGTAAGGGGAAAAAAATCAAATCCAATAAAGTTAAAACTGTATAAGATTAAGTAGAAATATCAGAATTAGATCATGTTTTGTTTCATAGGTATAGAAACAAAAAATAGAGTTTCTAACTCTTGCCCTGAAAGGACATAGACATAAAAGTGACTAACTCAGTAGCAATAAGCATCTATATCGCCCAGATTGTTATTTCTAAATAATACTTCTTTCTAAAAGGTATCAGGACTCTTTAAAGAAATTTCTGATTCCAGGTCTGGAATGGTAAAACCAGCAGGGTCATGTGAAAGGGCACAGTGATCAGCTTCAAGGATACTGACCAGATCATCATATTCTAACATCAACAGGAATGACTACAATGGATTAAAACACACTGAATGTATAAAAATTTACGAGTTCATGGTAATGAGAAAGAGAGCAGGCAAACCAAACATACAAAACAAAACAAAATAATTATTAGTTATCCTTTGAAGGTGCTAAGGCACCAACTCCTTCCTCTGAAAATTGGTAATTACTATAATGGGAATGAATTAAGCTTTTATCCTGCCTGTCCTAAAGGGACTAGATCTCAGAGTAATCAAACAGCCGTGGTCAATGAGGGAGAGCTCTTCTCTACCAAAGAACTCCAGCTAGTACATATGGAGCGAATAATAGAACTTAAAGACACTCTGCTTAAAATAATTGACTCAGGCAGTGATCATCAGTAATATTGATGTTATGGGAAAGGTTGATAGAAACTTGACAGTGGAAGATTCAGGCTGCCTCCACCTGAACCCCAGTGATTATCATTAAAAGTTAAATAACCAGACATTCTGGCTTCCCAATGTGATAAGATGTCGAATGGACAGCACCATCTTGAAATATTCTTGCCCAAAGAGTTGATCCTGAATCTCATTAAGCCTTGAGCTCTAACTTTTTAGTTTACAGAAAGTGAAAGTGGGTGGGGAGTGAGGGGAGAACTGGTAGAAAAACAAATTAAATGATGCCAAGAGGAAGAAATCAGAAAAACCCTGAATGAAATGGCACATATGGGCAGTTGGACAAGTTTCTTCAACATGCCTTCGCCTTGATTATGAGCTTCTTGAGTAAAAAGAACATCCTTTATTCACCTTTATATCCCTTGTTGTCTTCAAAGTACTTAGCACATGATGAGTGCTAAATAACGACTGTTGAATGAAGGACGGAATATTAATGTGAATGAGCCACAGTTTAATTATCCTCCTAGTGTGTGGCCTGAACAGAGATGCCTTAATCTCAGCTTCAGACAGTAACAGCTATTTCTATGTTCGTTTTGTGTTTTTTTTTTTAATTCTTCAAAAGTCATTAAAATGTATTATGATGACTTGGCAACTAGTTGAATAATTATTTAATTTATTAATTATACTACATTATGCACACTGAAGATTAATCTTTAAAAGGTAACATTTCTGCCCTCTGGGAACTTAATGTTCTGTGAAGACAGCATAACAATGGTAAATAAATAATAAGTACAAATATTTAACAAAATTATTTTCTTTTCTTTCCCTCCCTCCTCTCAACACACACATACTTTGTGTTGTTTGTGTTTTTTATCTTCTATATGTTACAATGTTTTGACATCTTAAAAACCTTTCTGGCTGGAGAGACTGCCCCTCCTAGGACCAGACAGTTTTCAGAGCTAGCAAAGGGCTTGGCCAGGAACACGTCTTTAATAGGCACACTAACCAATCCTGAGCCATACGTATCTCCTCTGTCTGGCCTGTACAATATTTCTCTGCCTTAATCATCCCAGGGCTAGGTACCCAGCAACTAGGAACCACTCATACAGTTTAGAGCCTGCTGGAGTTATTCAAACTGGATAATCTTAACCTGTTTACCATGCCCTACCTTGCCTTTTTTGAGGAAATCCAGTAAAGGCTCTAGCCTATGCCTTCCCCTTGCTGCTGAGCCCTGAGGCTTCCACATGTGGCCCTGGGCAGCGTGGCGTGCCTCTTGTCTTCAGGACCTGTGAATATAATAAACTTTGTTTTCCTGAGACTCTCCTGTGTCTCCTCTGTGGCCTCACCTGAGTGACCATCACATAAAAGAACAACACATACATACTCTCTGTCTCTCAGAAACACTCATACATGGTTCTGGAGATTTAATTTAGGCCATCACTTTATATTATACCTATATCTTGGAATATTTTCCCCTTATTTTATTTACCCTTCAGAATTTACATATCCTTTAAGCCTCAGTAAAAATGATACTTTTTACGTGGAGTTTTCCCAGATCCCTTCAGTCAAATTAATTATTCTTCCCAGTGAACTCAGTCTATTACTGTTTAAAACTTATTTTGTTCTTCCTCATTTATTACATTAAGTCAACTTATCTCAGTACACTGTAAACACTGTAAACGTTGAAGTTAAAACAATGTTCTGTTCATCTTTATGCCCTCACAGATTTGTTATAATGTTGACATGAAATACAGATACTTAATTTGTGTATAGACTGTGTTTTTCAATATATTTAAAAATCAAGGCCAGGCACGGTGGCTCAAGCCTGTAATCCCAGCACTTTGGGAGGCCGAGGCGGGTGGATCACGAGGTCAACAGATCGAGACCATCCTGGTCAACATGGTGAAACCCCGTCTCTACTAAAAATACAAAAAATTAGCTGGGCATGGTGGCGCGTGCCTGTAATCCCAGCGACTCAGGAGGCTGAGGCAGGAGAATTGCCTGAACCCAGGAGGCGGAGGTTGCGGTGAGCCGAGATCGCGCCATTGCACTCCAGCCTGGGTAACAAGAGCGAAACTCCATCTCAAAAAAAAAAAAAAAAAAAAAATCAAATATATGCTGTTATATGTGTAATGTCAATTGCTCCAACTGTGAAATAAATAATAGAAGAAATTATTTCTTCTTCCCTTAACAGCCAGATGATGTGATACAATGTTCCAGGACACCTGCATGATCAAGCTACTTTCCTAGTTGACATTTTTCTTGGTTTGTCATTGCCCAGTACAGGAACCCTTGGAGTCTTCAAGCTTTCCCTAAGATGGCCTCAGATTATTCTTCTAGCCCTACTACCCTCTACAAATGTTTGAAACTCCTGCCAAACAGAGTACCAATTTTGCTTCCTGAGAGTGCCTTTTCTCATACTGTTTTCTCCTCTTCTTCACCCATCAAAATATGATCAATCTTTCAGGGCCTGCTTCAAATGTTCTTTTTCCATCACCTTATTTCTGACCTGCCTAAGGAGGTGTGCATGCTCCCTGCTAGCTTCCAGAGCCTTAGGTTTGGAAGGAGCATTGCATCGCTTTCTTACATTCGTGCTGTCTGCACTCACACACACGTTTCAGAAAAAGTGGAGATCCTGAGTAGGGTGGTTCTGAGTAGATGAAGGGGGTTGAAATGGAAAGGTGATGAGAGAGAAAGAAAACAGAAGTTTTCTTCTGAGAGCTCTTTGGGAGGCGAGTCTCCATTGCTGAAAGTGTTCAAGAAGAGATTGAACGGTTACATATTGGTGATATGATAAAACAGTTTGGCTTGTGTTGGATAAGTATTAAACTAAAAGACTTCTGATATGAGTTTCAATGCTAGACCTATTTTTTTTGCAGTTTTTTTAAAGAAAAATTAATATTGAATATATTTATAGTATACAACATGATGTGTTGATATACATGTACATTATAGGATACCTAAATCAAACTAGTTAACATATGTATTACCTCCCATATTTATCATTTTTGTGTGGCAAAACAGTTAAAATCTACTCTTTAGCAACTTTCAGTATACAATATATATCGTTAGTAATTACAGTGGTCATGATACACAATAAATCTCCTGAAGTTATTCCTCCTGTCTGACTGAAATTTTGTATCCTTTGACCAACACCTCCGTAATTCTCCTACCCCCAAGCTCTGGCAACTACCAGTATACTCGGCCTCGAAGGATTCAACTTCTCTGGATTTTATGTATGAGTGAAATCATGCAGTATTTGCCTTTCCGTGCCTGGCTTATTTCACTTAATATAATGTCCTCCAGGTTCATTCATGTTGTTGCAAATGACAAAATTTCATTCTTTTTTAAGGCTGAATAGTACTCCATTGTGTATATGCACCACGTTTTCTTTATCCATTCATTCATTGATGGACACTTAGGTTTATTCCATATCTTGGCTCTTGTAATGTTGCAATGAACACAGGAATGCAGCTATCTCTTCAACATACCGATTTCATTTTCCTTGGATATGTACCCAGAAATGGGATTCTTCAATCACATGGTAGTTCTATTTCTAATTTTTTGAGGAGCCAACATACTGTTTTCCATAATAGCTGTACTGATTAATATTCCCACCAACAGTATACAAGGATTCCCTTTTCTTTACATCCTTGCCAACACTTATGTTTTGCCTTTTTTATGGTAGACATTCTACCAGGTTTGAGGTGATATCTCACTGTGGTTTTAATTTGCATTTCCCTGATGATTAGTGATGTCCAGCATTTTTTATATACCTGTTGGCCATGTGTATGTCTTCTTTTGAAAAATGTCAATTCAGGCCCTTTGTCTGTTTTTTGATTGGAACATTTGTTTTCTTACTGTTTGAGTTCTTTATATATTTTGGACATTAACTTCTTATCATATGTAAGGTGTGCAGGTATTTTCCTCCACTCCATAGGTCATCTCTTCACGCTGTGGTTTCCTTTGCTGTGGAACAGCCTTTTGGTTGATGTGATCTCAGTTGTCTATTTTGCTTTTGTTGCCTGTCTTTAGGGTCACATAACAAAAAAAAATCATTGCCCAGACCATTATCAGAGAGCTTTTCTCCTATGTTTTCTTCCAGTAGGTTTACAGTTTCAGGTCTTATGTCTAAGGCTCTCTAGAATTCTTAAATTTGCAAATATCCAAAGAAGTAAAAGTAGGACAAATGTTGAGTTACCCGTATATATGATATTGGTAAAGTGAAGTCTATCTAGTTTACAGGAAGTTGATAACATAATTTGAAAACCTTATTTCGGCCAAAATTTCATGCATTCTCTTTTGAGAAGTAACTTTCTGTGAATCTGCTGTAAAGTAGCAAAGATGTTAATTGGCGTTTCATCTCTTTTTATCTCCTCCCTATTCAATTCTAGTTGAGATGCAAGTGAACAATAAAATAACCAAATTTCAGTAAGAGCAAGAGCCAGGACCAGAAATGTTCTACAGGCTGCATAGTTAGGCTTGGAGTATTCAGAAGTGGATGATTTGTGTTTTGTGGCTTAAGACAAGAATTAGTGGCTCTTTTCTGGGTATAGCTATGAGTTATTTATGAAATTATAGAAATTTTTTTTGTTAAATGATAAAATTCAAAAGAATATAAAAAATAAAATCAATAATTCTATAACCTAAAGATAGAAACTTTTTATACTTTTACTGTATTTTGTTTCAGACATCTCTCTTGATATAAATACATATGTTCATGTATGTATGTGTTTGTGTGTGATTAAAATTGGATTATATGACATACTTTTTGAGGTTTTATTGTATTTTAGCCTCAGCATCCAACAGAGGAAGTTTTTGAGATTTTAAAGAAATGCCTCAGGTTTTCTGTGAAGAATCCATTACATACTTTTTCAAAAACTGTTTCTTCCCCCAGGGTTTTAAAAATATTTGGGTCGGGAAAGCACAGAAAATTAAACAACTGGAAAATGAGCTACAAAGCACTGAGGTGGATGATTAATTCTGAGCACTCTGATAAGAGGGAGCAATTGTTACATAAAAGCAAGGCTTTGTAGGTAGACAGTCATAGTGACACAGAAAACAGCTTCTGGAGATACATTTTGACTATGAAAAGCTATTAGGGTTATGCATATCAAGAGACAAAGCAGCCTCTTAGCCCATAAGAAAATGGGCATAGGGAAGCTGGGAAAAATCTGCTTTTCTTTGCCAGAAATTCAGTGTTTCTGAACATAGAAATAGACAATTGTGTAAGGGATTATACCTAAGCCTGTATGCTTATCTTGTCTTGGTTATCCATGTCTTGGGAAAGCCAGGCCAATTGGTTCATGCAGCCATTCCATCATTCACCTAAGAAGAATTGGAGATAACACTTTATGACTTATAAAGTGATTGCACATCCCACATAGTACTTGTGCCAAATATACGAATTATTGATAGAATGCCTGGAAGAAAAGATTTAATCTTTTGTATGGTTAACCTTACATACAGTGCACACAGTGGTCATAGATGCCACACCCCCAGATCGCTGCATTAGAAAACACACCCTGATAACTGTAAAGCACATTGGGAATGTTGGGTTCCCAAGGGACAAGATTGTGTTTACATTTCATTTCACGTCAGGTACAGTGTGGAATGTTTTGGGGCCTGAGGCCTTGAGTGTACAGTGGAAACTAATGATGCTTCAGAGAGTCCCATAGTACAAAAGGCAGCATTTTACATTGTTTTATTTAGTGTTTTGGCAAACTAGACACCAATATCATTGCTGTGCTCTTTTGTTATGAATCTGACTGTGTTAGCAATTGCATCGTTGGTTAATGTATGATAATGAGTCAGTGTTTGAAATGATGAGATTTGTCGCTTTTCTCTTTCTCTGCAAAGTTCTAATTTGTAGTAAGTGGCTCAGAACACTCAGATTTGAATTATTCTGTTTATGCAAGAAGACATTTATTAAATAAAGATGATGTTAGTAATTTTTAAATCAGTGATTTGCATCAGCTTTTTCATTTCTATAGACCATAAAAGGTTGAGTTACTTTGATGAATGTACTCAGCTACTCTCCAATTTTAAGTCAACTGCTTAAATTGTCATGTTATTTAAGAAAGAGTTTCTATAATTGTTTATTATTGAAAAGCATTAGCCTGCATGTATTTAAATGTATAGTCAATATATTAAGCATGGATATATATACAGCCTTTCAATTAAACAGGTGTCTAAGAACCCCTTGGTCCTGCGGCTGGTGTTAGTAGTAATATTTAGAGCACTGAATTGTCCAACTAAAAAAATTAAATTAGAACTTGATTTATACTCAAACATAGCTGTTAGAGAAATTTAAGGGATCTTCCTTTGTGCATGAAAATCTATCCAAAACAGGCATCTACCAATTAGATAAGAAGTAAAAAGGTAGTCATTTTAAAAGACTAAAGCTTTTTGAAGCCAAAAATGAGGTGGTTGTTGTTTTTTTCTATTTCAGTGTAAAACCTGTTCTGAGCCAAAAAAGATAACCAGTTCATCTGCCATCTATGACAACCCCAATCTCATCAAACCAATTCCAGTGAAACCCAGTGAAAACCAGCTACCGCATATACCTCAGCCCAGCCAGGTACAGAGTCCTCTGCTTGTCATATTCAGTGTGTCTCTAGAATTCTTAAAGAACTTTGACCCAGAATATAATCAGAGGAGGGCCTGGTGTTGCTGAAGAATGCTTTCAGGTAAACCCAAGAAAGAGAAATTTCAAAATATAGATTTTTTTCATTATTAATCATTTACTCTTCCTAGAAGAGGGTTAAAATTTTTACTTTTGTAATATAGCACATACTGTGCTAATCTCTTGTGAACTTGAACTCCTTAAGAGATGATGTATTTTTTAAAAAACAACAAGCCAGCACAGTGCTCAAGCCTGTAATCCCAGCACTTTGGGAGGCTAAGGCAAGAGGATCACTTGAGGCCAGAAGTTTGAGAGCAGCCTGGGCAACATGTAAGATCCCATCTCTACAAGAAAATTAGCCAGGCATGATGGCATGTATCTATAGTCCTAGCTACTCTGGAGGCTGAGACAGGAGGATCACTTGAGCTCAGGAATTTGAGGCTGCAGTGAGCTGTGATGCACCACTGCACCCCATCCTGGGCAAGAAAGCAAGACCTTGTCTCAAAAAACAAAAATCAGAAAACACCCTAGTAAACTAATAACATTGTCAGAGATCACAGAAACATTACCCATTGGGTCCGTATTCTTCTGGGACAGGTGGTTTCCCGAGGCCACCTGAGAGAACAACAACCAAGGCAACAAAACTGAGTTTAACACGTCTGAGCACCTCCTCTGTGCCAGATGCAATGCCCGCACTATAGACTGGGGTAGCTGCTGCAGAGACCTCAGAGTCCAGAGGAGTGATAGAAAATTCCTCTTCAGACAGGATGACCTGTTACTGAATTTGCAATCTAAATTAAAAACATTACAGCAGCTTTTGTATTAGTGTATGTATACATATTTCAGAATAGTATAGCCATGACAAAAATTGTCAATCTGTAGGTGCCATTAATGATTATAAATATAATATTGCTGTATCATTTTGTCATGGCTATGACTAGTTAGAAAGATTTTCTTAAAGGAATTAGTTTAAATCAATTTTGAAAATGAACATGGAGCCAAAAGACACAAAGACTAGTAATGAAAATCTTATATTGAATTTTTTAAAAAAGTAAGTCTTTTCTAATTTTTTAGCTTTCTTTTTATTGCTTGTTTTCCATCAAAAGTTTTTATTATATTTTAATAGAGCGACCTGAATATAAAATAATTTTAAAATGAAGCTCATGTTTTCTTTTTGAGATAGGGTTTTATTCCTGTTGCCGGGCGGGAGTGCAGTGGCACCGTCTTGGCTCACTGCAACCTCTGCATCCTGGACTCAAGTGATCCTCCCACCTCAGCCTTCCAAGTAGCTGGGACTACAGGCTTGTGCTGCTATGTTGGCAATTTTTGTATTTTTTGTAGAGATGGGGTTTTGCCATGTTGCCCAGCCTGGTCTTGAACTCCTTAGCTCAAACAGTCTGCCCACCTTGGCCTCCCAAAGTGCAGGAATTACAGGCATGAGCCACTGTGCCTTGTGTTTTGTTAGTGCAACTATGCAGAAAACAACAGAAAGAGGTAGAGAGCAGGAAGGAAGTAGCTTTGTAAGTGTCTGAGCCAAGGTAGATTTTATGTATCCAAGGACTCTTCAAACCCTACCGTTATATATTTGAAAGGATCAAGTTATATTAAAAGTCTTCCGTTTCTTTCCAGCCCTAGATTTCTATAATTCTGTGAAAAGCTACTAGAAATTCAGAAATTCTCATATTCCTTCTCATATTACTCTGCAGGCTTAGATGGGCTTCCTATTGAAGAGATTGTGTATGTTTTTAGTGCATATAATTTCCTACCAAGGTGGTTTCCAATCTGTGAAACCCCAGGCCCTCGAAGATCCTATACCTGATTTTTCAGTCAACAGATACTAAAATATAACAACTGTCTTGGGAGTGCAAGGGGAGCAGGCTATGAAAAATTTTGACATTAAAAAAGGAGTCTCATTTTTAAAGTTGATTATATGATTTTCATTCCCTCTAATCGATCCTTTGTAAATAGAGTAAGTCATCAGTTAGGTAAGTTAGGTTTCATAGCACTCCCTCAAATAACCAAATTGTTTGCAGACTCATCTCAGATATCTTTATTTTTTACAGACCTTAGACCCTGAACCCCAGCACTTATCCTTGACAGCTCTGTTTGGGAAGCAGGACAAAGCTGCATGTCAGGAGACTGTAGAGCCTCCACAGACCCTCCACTACCACCACCAGCTGCAGCAACAGCAGCCGCAAGAGAAGCTTCCAATTAGGCAGGGGGCTGTTCGCTCCCTGTCCTATGAGGAACCCAAAAGACACTCGCCCCCCGTTGAGAAGCAGCTCTGTCCGGCGATTCAGAAACTCATGGTCAGGAACACAGACCTCCACCCATTGTCAGAGCTGCCTGAAAACCGGCCCTGTGAAAATGGCAGTTCCCATTCTGCAGGAGAAGTTTTTAGAGGACCTGTCCAGCCAGGGTCTCCTCACAACACTGGGACTTCTTGTGGTATACAAAATGCTTCCAGAACTCAGAACCTGTTAGAGAAACTTCACAGTACCCCACTGGGGGCTGGAAACAAGTGTGACCCTAGTACACCAACACCTGCCAGCTCAGCCGCGCCGAACCGCAGCAGAGCTCCCACTTCTGTCACCCCTGTGGCTCCAGGAAAGGGTCTGGCTCAGCTACCACAGGCCTATTTCAATGGCTGCCTTCCACCTCAGACAGTAGGACATCAGGCTCATGGAAGAGAACAGTCCACACTCCCAAGACAAACACTCCCCCTCTCTGGTAATCAGAGTGGCAGTTCCGGAGTGATCTCCCCTCAAGAGTTGCTGAAGAAGCTTCAGATTGTGCAGCAGGAGCAGCAGCTGCATGCCTCTAACCGGCCAGCCTTGGCCGCTAGGTTTCCTGTGCTCACTCAGAGCTCTAGAACAGGAAAACCCTTGGAATCCTGGCTCAGCAAGACATCCAGCACAGAACAGCAGACTCCTCTTTTTCAGGTAAATATGTACCAGGGGCAAAATAAAACAGCCTGGCAGCATAGAAAGACTTTGTCTCTACAAAAACAAAAAACAAAGTTAGCCAGGCTTGGTGTCTCACACTTACAGCCTCAGCTACTTGGGAGGCTGAGGTGGGAGGATCCCTTGAGCTCAAGAGGCAGAGGTTACAGTGAGCCATGATCGTGCCACTGTACCCCAGCCTGGGTGACAGAATAAGACCCTGTCCGTTAAGAAAAAAAAAAGAGACGAAAAGGTATTACTATAGTGCAGTGAAATTTAGAGTTCACTTCTGTGCTGTAAGGACCATGTATCATGTACATTTCTGTTTGGAGCAGGGTGCCAGAAGCCACATCTGTGCATCTTGATTGCCCGAACTTTCTACCTGAAAGGAGAATCTTCACTTTGGCTAACAATGTGATAACCTCCCCCTGCCTTTTTGAGAGCGTTTACTTGTAGAGTTAAATTGTCATAATGTTAGGAGGTCTGAAGACCAACATAGACATGGGAAAAAAGCCTCATCTTTGACTGTAGGAACATAGTATGGTCTGCTTTGAAATCAGTCTAGAATACTGAGCATCTGACCTCCTCTGGTGTTTCAGTCTACAGTAAATTATTGCTTATTCACTTATTTAGTAAATATTTTTGAACACTTACTACATGTCAGGCATTGTCTACATGTGGGTACAAAATGATGAAGAAAACAGACTCCTTACCTCTACCCACAGCCCATGCTCTAGGTTCTTGAAATAAACAGAAAGCAGCATATTTCCTCCTTAAAGGCGCAGCCTATTTTTATCTTTCTCAGCATCATCAGTATAGCCTAATGAAGATCAGGAGAGATATGCATGCCACCCACCTCTACCCCCCACACAAACTGCCAGAGAGGGAAAATAGGACCATTTTTAGAAGTATCCTGTCCTTTAGGGAAGATGCTTCTCCATGTCTATCACTGACTTGGGACAGTGAGGAAACCACAAGCTTGATCGTCTGCCTGTGGGTAACATCTGGAGATCTGACACTGAATTGTTTTCCCTTTGGATTGGAACACATGTATTGAAAGTACATTGGGTTTAAAAATTGGAAGGTTCTCCCTGTGTATCACATACATAATCGCTGGCCTTTCATCATGTTTTGTTATGTACCTTTTTTTTTTTTTTTTTTTTTTGAGACACGGTTTCACTCTTGTTGCCCGGGCTGGAATGCAATGGTGCGATCTCAGCTGACTGCAACCTCCGCCTCCCAGGTTCAAGCGATTCTCCTGCCTCACTCTTTCGAGTAGTAGAGATTACAGGCACCTGCCACCACATCCAGCTAATTTTTTGTATTTTTTTTTAGTAAAGACGGGGTTTCACCATGTTAGCCAAGCTGGTCTTGAACTCCTGACCTCAGGTGATCCATCCACCTTGGCCTCCCAAAGTGCTGGGATTACAGTTGTGAGCCACTGTGCCCGGTCTATTATGTAACTTATAACAGTTTTTCAAAAATCTATCACTTTTGGCCAGGCACAGTGGCTCATGCCTGTAATCCCAGCACTTTAGGGGGTTAAGATGGGAGGATCGCTTGAACCCAGGAGCTTCAGACCAGCCTGGGCAACATAGTGAGACCTTGTCTCTATAAAATTTTTTTGTTTTTGATTAGCCGGGTTTGGTGGCGTGCCACCATGGTCCCAGCTACTTGGGAGGCAGGAGGGGGAAGATCGCTTGAGCCCAGGAGGTTGAGACTTTACTGAGCCATGTTCACACCACTGTACTCCAGCCTGGACAACAGAGTGAGACCCTGTCTCAAAACAAAACATTCCATTTTTTGAAAAGAAAGATCTTGGGCATGTACCAAAAGTCTTTGTGAGCCCCTGAGTCAAAGTGTTCTCCTTTATTATTTATTAACATCCCTAATCTGAGTACTGGCTGCTATAGAAACAATATTCATAACTCCTGCTCCCCCTCATTTCAGTGTTATTGTCCCTCTTTTAAAAACGTCTGCTTTTTTTCTCTTTGATGATTTAGAATTAGAAGCAGGGAATGAATATAGTCTGACTTACATTTCTAATGTACAACTCCTTTGACTTTTCAGTACTCACAAATATCAAGAGCCGAGTGAGGAAGGCGTGCATTTCAGCAGCCCACGCTGTGCACAGAATGCTTGACTCCTCCTCCGGGGAGCATCGCTGCTCAGCACCGCTCCTCGAAATGTCACGTAGGGACAAGTTAAAAGAAACAGCCTGCCTTCCTCTAGGCCAACTTCTGCTCAAAGAGGTGCTAAGGGAGTGATTATAGAATTACAGCAACTTCTAGCTTGCTGGCCTCTGTGCCTCCCTCTCAGGAGCTCTTCTGGGGAGTTAGGAGGCTGATAAATAACATTCTTTTTTTTCCCTGAGTTAGAAGCAAATGATAGCTGTAGGAGTCAGTCAGCTAAGGATCAAAATGTCACTTGCATAACTGAAAGGGCTGTTAGAAAACTTGGTTTCAGGTCTGTTTGCCAAGGGAGTTAGAATCACCAGACAGACAAGGCCATGGCAGGGCTGAGCAACAGGCGGCACGTCTGCTGCAGAAGCTAAAGATGCGGGCTCTGCAGGCAGGCAGATCCTGTCAGGGAAGAACCCAGAAAGGGTGGAGCCACACATCACTCTCCCTCCCAAAGAGAAGTGCGTGAGGCTGCAGGAGGGGCAGGGAGTTGCTGTCATAGCACCTTCTGTGCTCCAGGGTCAGGAGGGGAAATGGGTAGGCCCCTATCAAGTAAGGGTTGCAGCTCACATAGGTTGTGAGACCTTTAAGTCAGAGTCATGACAGGTCCGAGGAAAAGGCCAGTAGTCCTAAATGCAGATTGCCAAATACTGGCAGTCAGCCTGAAAAATAAACTGTCACTCAGAGGCCAGGCTTCATATGCAGTGGGAACAGCAGTCACCACAGCACACCATACCAGAGCTGCTCAGTGATGCCAGAGGAAGGTGCACGGAGAGTGGAACAAGAATCAGTTACGCGTAGACTATTCTCAGCTAGGGAAGCTGTGCACAGGGAATGCTTAGATCACCCGCATCCACTGCTGCAAGCTGTCATGCCGTGAGCTGCTCCTGACCCCACCCTGTGTGTATTTGCTGTGAGCAGGTCATCTCACCTCAGCGCATCCCTGCTACAGCAGCTCCTTCTCTGCTCATGTCCCCCATGGTGTTCACACAATCCACCTCCGTCCCACCAAAAGAAAGGGAGAGCGGCCTCTTGCCTGTGGGAGGCCAGGAGCTGCCTGCTGCCGCCACCAGCCTCCTCCTGCCCATGCAGAGCCCAGAGCCCTCCTTGATCACCAGCAGCCCACTCACCAAGCTCCAGCTCCAGGAAGCACTGCTGTACCTCATCCAGGTAAGCGGGCACGTCGTCTCCCTTTGCACCTGACCACACCTGTTGGCTTCCTGGCTGTGACTTTGATATAAAGACTTGGCCATGGCCTGCTTAGCTTCCCTGAGAGTAACAGGTGTGTGTAACAACTCATCCTGACCCCAGTGGCTCTGTGCTCATTTAGCTCGGTGTTATTTAGAATACCAAGTGTGGCTTTGGGTGTCTCAGCTCTTTAAGGATTTTGTCTTGACAGCTGTCTTTGACAGCTGTCACCTGTCAGAAGAGAAGGAAGCATACGCTGGTGGTTAAGCAGTCTCTGAGAAGACCCTGGGTGCTGCCGGGGGCCCGGACAGAAAACTCACCATTGGGAAGTAGAGGTGGGAGCAGTCCTGGGCAAGGGCCATCTGCCGAGTGGGGAACAGGTCACTGAGCGAGTGGAAAACAGGGAGGGAAGCAAGTAATGGCCGTGGCTGCTGCAGGTGCGTTTTACAAGTCATTTTGAAATCTGCTCATTAGGATGGGATGGAACGACAGGACTCCTTGTGAGCCGCTTGTCTCACTTGTCTATGAAATTGTGAAATAATAGTGAGCACAGTAACAGCTAACACCCCATAGAGCTGGTGCCAGGCCCTGTTTTAAGTGCCACACACATATTAACTTATTCACTCCTCACACAACAACCCTGTTATTTTTCCTATTCTACAGAAAAGGAAAGTGAGGCTAAGCAACTGGTGAGGCAAGCAGCTCGTTCATAACACAGCGGGGATGCTCCATGCTGCCATGTGGCTCAGCTGCCCATCTGTGCTGCATGTGAGCTCCTGCTACCGTGCAGGCCCCTAGCCTGGCCCCTGAGTGCCACTTCCCATGTGCTGTCCCATGGGCCATGCTATCCACATGAATGTTACCAGGGACCAGCCTCAGGAGAACATTCAGCACAGGTGCCCCAGCAAAGCACACCCAAAATATAAATGGTAGGCCTTGAAAAGTGGAATATAGGTGTCTTTTTGGTAGATAGTTGTTAAGAAAATTTCTGCGGCACTTTGCTTAAGCATCAGGTGGCCTTTAGAGAGCAGGCTAGCCCTTCTGCGGTTGTCTTGTCCTACTCAAAAAGACATTGGTCTCTATTAGTAAAACATTTTTTAAAAGCCTACAAGTTGGCCAGGCGAAGTGGCTCCTCACACCTGTACTCCCAGCACTTCGGGAAGCCAAGGTGGGAGCATTGCTTGAGGCCAGGAACTCAAGATCAGCCTGAGCAACATAGTGAGACTACAAAGAAGGAAACCGTTTGAGAGAGAATGAAAGGAATGGGCTAGAAAACAGCAGAAGTGTAGTAACGATCAGATATAAAGAAGGTCAGCAGCAAATAACTGAGCCTTACTAATTAATAAATAAATGTCAGGATAAAAAATATTTGCCACCTTTTAAAGCTATTCCTGGTAAGCTCATGAGGAATTAGAAAGGACGTCTATGAACTTCTTTACTTTGAGCAAATTTCTTCAGTTTGAATTTAAAAGATCCATATGTTTTTCTGGCTCATTCCATTCAGATCACATTGTCTTGAGACTCTGTTAGTCCAGAGTAGTTGCTGAACACGGCTGGTTAGAAATTACATTCCCCCTCGCTCCATGTCGGAATGCATTTTACTTCTTCCTGTGTACTAGACCTCATCTTCCCAGTCACTCAAAATGGTCTGTTTTTAGTCTCTGCCTCTTGTTAGGATGCAGCCTCATGCATAGGAACTTTGTGACTACTTTGTAGGAAAAAAAGGGATAACATCACTCTCTTCATTGCATGAAAATAATGCTAACTCTGTGTGGGGTGCCAAGAGGGAATGAAGGGGGAATGTGAAGTGTGGGTGAATTACTAACGCTGCAAAGAATTTGAGTGGGAAGGAGAAGCCTCTAGAATTAAAAAATGAAGAAACCCACTGATTAGACCATGATTCCCACTCTTGGCCAGGCAAAAGAGCCCAGAGACTACCAGTCTTATTCCTGCCCACTTGCCAAGGCCAGAAATTTTCCATAACTTATGGAAAGACTTACATGGACTTTGATGAAGTACTGATGAAGCATATTGGAAGTAAAATCCTAAGTAATGCCCAAAACAAAGTAAACACATTGTAGGTGACGTGGAGAGCCTTTAAAAACCACGGTGGCTCATGCCTGTAATCCCAACACCTGGGGAGGCCAGGAGTTCGAGACCACCCTGAGCAACATATTGAGACCCTGCCTCAACAAAAAACTGACAAAGAAAAGCCAGGTATGATGGCACACACCTTGTAGCCCTAGCTACTTGGGAGGCTGAGGTGGGAGGACTCCAGGAGGTTGAGGCTGCAGTGAGCTATGATGGTGATACTGCACTTTAGCTTGGTTGATGGAGTGAGACCCGGTCTCAAAAACAAAACAAAACAAAAAAACACACCACAGCAATCTCTTAACCAAACTTTGAGACCACTGACTTGGATCATGTCCTCCTAACTCCTCTGTCTGCTGAGGTCCCTTGTCTTTTCATGCAGCAGACCCAGGCTGTTCTTGAGTAAACCTTGCTCCATGCTGCCATGTGGCTCGGCTGCCCACCTGTGCTGTATGTAATGAGCTCTTGCTACTGTGCATACTGACCGTCGAAAACCAGCAGCTCTGTCCGGCCTTGCCTCAACCCCACATAACATTCACACGTGCAATTAAAAACCACCAGCTGTTAGATCAGACAGGGAGAGATGAGCCTCTCAGTGTCCAAATGCTGGTTCAGCTCTAAGACAGAGGAAGCCTTTTGTGTCTGCCAACCAAGTTGCATTCTCTTGGGTCTTTCTATTTGTTTTCCAGAACGACGACAACTTCTTAAATATAATCTATGAAGCCTATCTCTTCAGCATGACTCAAGCAGCCATGAAAAAGACTATGTGAGAGCAAGTCCTTTTAAAACTGATTTTCAAGGTCCTTCTAGAACTCCGGCACAAGGTTCTTTCACGTCAAGTTTTGTTTCCTTCAATGTTTCTGCCTTTTATTTTAAAAAAGTATGTATAATATGAAGTAAAATGTTTCAGACTTTTTTTTCTAGTCAGGTGGAGTTTTTTAATTAAGTTCTGGGATACATGTGCAGAATGTGCAGGTTTATTACATAGGTATACACATGCCATGGTGGTTTGCTGCACCTATCAACCCGCCATCTACATTAGGTATTTCTCCTAACGCTATCCTTCCCCTAGTCTCCTACCCCCAACAGGCCCTGGTGTGTGATGTTCCCCTCCCTGTGTCCATGTGTTTTCCTTGTTCAACTCCCACTTGTGAATGAGAGCATGTGGTGTTTGGTTTTCTGTTCCTGTGTTACTTTGCTGAGAATGATGGTTTCTGGCTTCACCCATGTCCCTGCAAAGGACATGAACTCATCCTTTTTTGTGGCTGCATAGTATTCCGTGGTGTATATGTGCTACATTTTTTTATCTGCTCTATCATTGATGGGCATTTAGGTTGGTTCCAAGTCTTTGCCATTGTGAATAGTGCTGCAATAAACATACATGTGCATGTGTCTTTATAGTAGAATGATTTATAATCCTTTGGGTAAATACTCAGTAATGGAATTGCTGGATTAAATGGTATTTCTAGTTCTAGATCCTTGAGGAATCGCCACACTGTCTTCCACAATGGTTGAACTAATTTACACTCCCACCAACAGTGTAAAAGTGTTCCTATTTCTCCACATCCTCTTCAGCATCTGTTGTTTCCTGACTTTTTAATGATCACCATTCTAACTGGTGTGAGTTGGTATCTCAATGTGGTTTTGATTTGTATTTCTCTAATGACCAGTGATGATGAGCTTTTCTTCATATGTTTGTTGGCCACATAAATGTCTTCTTTTGAGAAGTGTCTGTTGATATCCTTCACCCACTTTTTGATGGAGTTGTTTTCTTCTTGTAAATTTGTTTAAGTTCCTTGCAGATTCTGGATATTATCCCTTTGTCAGATGGATATTGCAAAACATTTCTCCTACTGTGATGATAATTTCTTTTGCTGTGCATAAGCTCTTTAGTTTAATTAGATCCCATTTGTCAATTTTGGCTTTTGTTGCCGTTGCTTTTGGTGTTTTAGTCATGAAGTCTTTGCTGTGCTTATGTCCTGAATGGTATTGCCTATGTTTTGTTCTAGGAATTTTATGGTTTTAGGCCTTATGTTTAAGTCTTTAGTCCATCTTGAGTTAATTTTTGTATAAGGTGTAAGGAAAGGGTCTAGTTTCAGCTTTCTGCACATAGCTAGCCAGTTTTCTCACCATCATTTATTAAACAGGGAATCCTTTCCCATTGCTTTTGTCAGGTTTGTCAAAGATCAGATGGTTGTAGATGTGTGGCATTATTTCCAAGGCCTCTGTTCTGTTCCATTGGTCTATATATCTATTTTGGTACCAGTACCATGCTGTTTTGGTTATTGTAGCCTTGTAGTATAGTTTGAAGTCAGGTAGCATGATGTCTCCAGCTTTGTTCTTTTGCTTAGGATTGTCTTGGCTATACAGGATCTTTTTTGGTTCCATATGAAATTTAAAATAGGTTTTTTCTAATTCCATGAAGAAAGTTCATGGTAGCTTGATGGGGATAGCATTGAATCTATAAATTACTTTGGGCAATATCGCCATTTTCATGATATGATTCTTCCTATCCATGAGCATGGAATGTTTTTCCATTTGTTTCTGCCCTGTCTTACTTCCTTGAACAGTGATTTGTAACTATCCTTAAAGAGGTCCTTCACATCCCTTGTAAGTTGTATTCCTAGGTATTTTATTCTCTTTGTAGCAGTTGTGAATGGGAGTTCACTCATGATTTGACTCTCTGTTTGTCTATTATTGATGTATAGGAATGCTTGTGATTTTTGCACATTGATTTTGTATCCTGAGACTTTGCTGAAGTTGTTTATCAGCTTAATGAGATTGTGGGCTGAGACAATGGAGTTTTCTAAATATATAATCATGTCATCTGCAAACAGAGATAATTTGACTTCCTCTCTCCCTATTTGAATATCCTTTATTTCTTTCTCTTACCTGATTGCCCTGGCCAGAACTTCCAATATTATGTTGAATAGGAGTGGTGAGAGAGAGCATCCTTGTCTTATGCCAGTTTTCAAAGGGAATGCTTCCAGCTTTTTTACCCATTCAGTATGATATTGGCTGTGGGTTTGTCATAAAGAGCTCTTCTTATTTTGAGATACATTCCATGAATACATAGTTTATTGAGTTTGGTTTTTGAGTTTTCCTTTTCTAGCATGAAGTGGTGTTGAATTTTATTAAAGGCCTTTTCTGCATCTATTGAGCTATTCATGTGGTTTTTGTCATTGGTTCTGTTTATGTGATGGATTACGTTTATTGATTTACGTATGTTGAACTGGCCTTGCATCCCAGGGAGGAGGCCAACTTGACTGTGGTGAATAAGCTTTTTGATGTGCTGCTGGATTCGGTTTGCCAGTATTTTATTGAGGATTTTTGCATTGATGTTCATCATGGTTATTGGCTTGAAATTTTCTTTTTTTATTGGGTCTCTGCCAGATTTTTGTATGAGGATGATGCTGGCCTCATAAAATAAGTTAGGGAGTCCCTCTTTTTCTATTGTTTGGAATAGTTTCAGAAGAAATGATACCAGCTCCTCTTTATACCTGTGGTAGAATTTGGCTGTGAATCCTTCTGGTCCTGGGCTTTTTTTGGTTGGTAGACTATTAATTGCTGCCTCAACTTCAGACCTTGTTATTGGTCTATTCAGGGATTCGACTTGTTTATGGTTTAGTCTTGGGAGGGTGTATATGTGCAGGAATTTATCTATTTCTTCTAGATTTTGTAGTTTATTTGCATAGAGTATTTATAGTATTTTCTGATGGTAGTTTGTATATCTGTGGGATCAGTGGTGATATCCCCTTTATCATTTTTTATTGTGTCTTTTCTTCTGTCTTTTCTTCTTTATTAGTCTGGCTAGTGGTCTATCTATTTTGTTAATCTTTAAAAAAAAAAAAAAAAAAAAAAAAAAAAAAAAAAAAACAGGTCCTGGATTCATTTATTTTTTTTTTTTTTGAAGGGTTCTTCATGTCTCCGTCTCCTTCAGTTCTGCTCTGATCTTGTCTTCTGCTAGCCTTTGAATTTGTTTGCTCTTGCTTCTCTGGTTCTTTTAATTGTAATGTTGGCATGTCGATTTTAGATCTTTCCCGCTTTCTCCTGTGAGCATTTAGTACTATAAATTTCCCTCTAAATACTGCTTTAACTGTGTCCCAGAGTTTCTGGTGCATTGTGTCTCTGTTCTCACTGTTTTCAAAGAACTTACTTATTTCTGCCTTAAATTCATTATTTACCCAGGAGTCACTCAGGAGCAGATTGTTCAGTTTCCGTGTAGTTGTGCAGTTTTGAGTGAGTTTCTTAATCCTGAGTTCTAATTTGATTGCGCTGTGGTCTGAGAGACTGTTTGTTATGATTTCTGTTCTTTGCATTTGCTGAGGAGTGATTTACTTCCAGTTATGCGGTCAGTTTTAGAATAAGTGTGATGTGGTGCTGAGAAGACTGTATATTCTATTGATATGGGGTGGAGAGTTCTGTAGATGTCTTTAAGGTTCACTTGGTCCAGAGCTGAGTTCAAGTCCTGAGTATCCTTGTTAATTTTCTGTCTCATTGATCTATCTAATATTGACAGTGGGGTATTAAAATCTCCCACTATTATTGTGTGGGAGTCTAAATCTCTTTTTAGGTCTCTAAGAACTTGCTTTATGAGTCTCCTGTATTGGATACATATGTATTTAGGATAATTAGCTCTTCTTGTTGCATTGATCCCTTTACCATTATGTAATGCCCTTCTTTGTCTTTTTTGATTTTTGTTGGTTGAAAGTCTGTTTTATCAGAGACTACGATTGCAACCCCTGCCTTTTTTTTTTTTTTTTTTTTTTGGCTTTCCATTTGCTTGGTAAATATTTGACCGTCCCTTTATTTTGAGCCTATGCATGTCTTCGCACGAAATGGGTTTCCTGAATACAGCACGCCGATGGGTCTTGACTCTTTATGCAATTTGCCAGTCTGTGTCTTTTAATTGAGGCATTTAGCCCATTTACATTTAAGGTTAATATTGTTATGTGTGAACTTGATCCTGTCATCATGATGCTAGCTGGTTATCTTGCCCATTAGTTGATGCAGTTTCTTCATAGTGTCGATGGTCTTTACAATTTGGTATTCTTAGCACTGGCTGGTACCAGTTTTCCTTTCCATATTTACTACAGAGTGGACTCCAGCAAACTCCAGCAGACCTGCAGCAGAGGGGCCTGTTAGAAGGAAAACTAACAAACAGAAAGGAATGGCATCAACATCAACAAAAAGGACATCCACACAAAATCCCCATCCAAAGGTCACCAGCATCAAAGACCAAAGTTAGATAAATCCATGAAGATGAGGAAAAGCCAGTGCAAAAAGATTGAAAATCCCAAAAACCAGAAGGCCTCTTCTCCAAAGGATCACAACTCCTCACCAGCAAGGGAAGAAAACTGGATGGAGAATGAACTTGATGAATTAACAGAAGTAGACTTCAGAAGATGGGGAATAACAAACTCCTGTGAGTTAAAGGAGCATGTTCTAATCAAATGCAAGGAAGCGAAGAACCTTGAAAAAAGGTTAGAGGAATTGCCAACTAGAATAACCAAGTTAGAGAAGAACATAAATCACCTGATGGAGCTGAAAAACACAGCACAAGAACTTCATGAAGCATACACAAGTGTCAGTAGCTGGATTAATCAAGGGGAAGAAAGGGTATCAGAGATTGAAGATCAACTTAATGAAGTAAAGCATGAAGACAAGATTACAGAAAAACAAATCAAAAGGAATGAACAAAGCCTTCAAGAAATACGGGACTATGTGAAAAGACCAAACCTGCGTTTGATTGGTGCACCTGAAAGTGATGGGGAGAATGGAACGAAGCTGGAAAACACTCTTGAGGATATTATCCAGGAGAACTTCCCCAACCTAGCAAGACAGGTCAACATTCAAATTCAGGGAATACAGAGAACACCACAAAGATACTCCTTGAGAAGAGCAAACCCAAGACACATAA